TGAGATGTATTGTTCAAAGTTTTAAGAGCTTTTAAAAAGGTTTCCTTACCAAGGAGACAAGTTGCTCAACCAAGCCAGCAGGACAGGAGACAACTCTTGAGTCATTTTCTCAGGTGACATGTGACCATGAAAAGAGAGAGTAAAGTGGGGTTTATTCTCCAAACAACGTCCAGAGACCCCAACCCTCTTGAGACATTCCCTAAACTGCATGCGCATGCTCCACTGTAGAGTGTACACCTCTGCATATGCAAATGGCTTCTGAAAAGGGGAGGAGAATTCTGGAAATTTAGATGAATATGTATGCTTTTTATAAATAAATGATAACTTTGGAACTTTGTGTGCGTCGTATGCATTAGGGGGAGCAGTCCCCCACACACCTGACATCAAAATAATGTCTGCTTCCTAATACTGAAACTGCACTGTTAGAGAGTTTTATTCTTTCTGACATTTCAGTGAAATGGCTGGCACTCTTTCTCATGTTTTGCTTTCCCAGACAGAGATTTGGAAATGTTTCTTCCTTTCTGTGATACACTGCTTCTTCCTTGTACATAACATGAGTTGCTGTCTCACTCATTTACACAAAGAAATGGGAGTTAGAGGGATCAGATGAGCATCCAAATGTTCTCTTGATATTACCCTGCACAGATTCCAAGACTCAGGCAGCAGACACAGTGAGGTGGAGGAGGGAGGCCCTTTTGGTGGGGGACTCTAAGGTGGGAAGCTGACACAATGGCAGAAGCCAGTTCCTGAATGGTTGCTGTGATATTTGGCAGCCTCTCCATCCAATCCAATCCAGCCTGGGGATCCCTGGGGAAAACTGGCCAGTCAGGGCTGCCACAACACCTGGCACAGGGTGGGCATCTGCTGGACAAGATCACAAGAGTTGTGAAGCCACAGGGCAACAGTGGGTAACCCCTCTGAAGCTTCCCAGCCAGGCCCTGTACACATGGCAAAGTAAGATGGAAAACACCTCATGGGTCAAGATGGTGGGATTTTTTTATAAGTAATGCAATGGTCACGCGTACAAGGGAGAAGAAAAGCACTGTGAAAAGGGCTGAGGGGCTACATGTGTGACTGGGAGGACTAATCAATGTCCCTGTGGGTCCCAATACTCCCCAGACTCCCTCCAGCCCCACAGGGGACACTGTGGACATGGGAGATGTAAGAGTAACAATGTTTTGGTCAATAGATATAGGAAGTTAACCTGTGGAAGACGAACAATGCACAATAGAATTGTTGTTAGCATGGGGATGGTATCATGAGCCATTATGGCCCCATCTCAAGGGCTGGCCACTCATGAGATAATGCCATTACAGGAAAAAATCCATTCCAGAAGAGGAGATATAAGGCCTGGTTCTGGGGTGGAGGGGAGAGGAGGACATGATGCATGCCACTTCAAACCAGTGGACACCCTGAAGGTCTATAGCCTACGTACCTCTCCCACCTGAGCACCGTGCTCCACCTCCTTCTCCTGCTCAGCTCTTTCCAAGAATCCACGGGTCAGTGTGTATTGTTTGCTACAGCAATTAATAAAACAATTTTGCTTTGCAATCACAATTGTATCTTTGAGTTTTTTGTGCACAGGCATCCTCCAGAACCCAGAACTGTGAGTAACAGGACCCCTAGCCATTGGGAGACCTCCTTTCAGGAAAGTTTCTGGAATATCACAATCATGGCCACAAGCCCCATTCTGAGGCATAAAAAAGCAGAGGAGCACGATGCCTAGGTGATAGGGACATACATAATGGTGTGTCTTTGAGCTGCACAGGAGTGTTTCTGAGCTCAGGGACACCTGAGCATCAGCTCTAAGCCTCATCAGGATCCAGAAGTCCTCAGCAGGCAAGTAGGTGAGGAAAGGTCTATGCAAGGAGCACCCGAGGGAGATTTAAACAGTTCTAGGAAGCACAAGTGACCCAGAATGTGGTGAACAGGAGAGGGTAAATGGGGGCATGGCATGGCAATGAGGGCATGCCATGCCAATTAGCACAAGTTCACCCAGGCAGTAAGGCAGTGGGGCAAGCAGGAAGGACTCCTCTCTGAACATCTGAGAGCAGCCATTGGAGCCAAGAAAACAGATTCAGTAGTGGTAAGGAAGAGCATGAGGATACTCTTTAATCCCCAGTCTTATTAGCATACTTGTATTAAGCTTCCTCAGTTGTGGCATTAACACACCATAGAGCTCAATCCTCTGTAGGTTCCTTCCAACTCAGAATATTTTGTGATTCTGTATGCCAGAAGTGCCATGTAGGGATGGATGGCATCGGGGGGACAGTGGGCTGGTGACTTCTGATGGGGAACAAGGGGGACCCTATGGGGCTGGCAGTGGCTGGGGCTTAAAAGTCTGTATAGTGCTGAGGGTAGGCTTTAAGAAATACAAGGTGACAGCTGAGTCTGGGGAGACATAGTGGACCAGGGGACCCATACGGGGTATGGGGGAGAGGGGGCAGCAGTGACCTTTAGGGCCAGTGTGTCCCCTGGAGTCAACATGTCCCCCATATCTCTGACTCCATCAAAGCCATTCCCTTGTTCACCTTCATTTTCAGGAGTGTAACTCCACAGTTACAGTCCATCAGCAACCGATGGGAGCTCAGCCACCAGACTGGGTGGTAGGTATCCCCCAGTGCCACCCCCAGCAGTTGTCACCCCAAAACTGTTTAAGTGCTATGAGGAAGGACAAAGGTTCAGAAGGGGCAGGCAGGGAAGAGCAATGTGGGGGTGTCCCAAACTGGGTGTCATGGGAGGCCCAGGGTGGGTACAGGAGTTGGTGGGTGGCAGGAGTGCTGGTTTGGGTGTGTCCCCAGGTTGGGTGGTGGGGTGTATCTGAGGTTTATCCCCCAAGGCATGTGGTGTGGGGTACATTGGGTGCCACTCCATAAAATGTGGAGTGGGTCATCATACTGCCCATGAAGATTGAGGGCACCATCCAGAACACTGCACGCATGTGAGGTTTTTGGTGCTGAAGATGCTGGGAGATTTGGAGTGCTTGGGAGCCCAGGGCTGGGGGCTGGGTCCAGAGCTGGGTGATGGGAGCTCTGGTGGGATTCAGGGCTGAAAGAAGCTGCAGGGTCCAGGGCTGATAGTGGATGCTGGCAACATCCAAGGCTGGGAGATGGCAGCTGAAGAGTCTGGGGCTGTGGTGGGATCCAGACGGGACCAAGAGTGGGACCTTCACGTTTCATGACCTTTTTCCACTCCCATTTCCTGATCTTTTCCCCTCATATTCCCCACAATTTTCCCCAATGTTTCTCAGTTTTCTCCTCCAGTTTCCTGCCCTTTTCTTCCCTGTTTCACTCCCTTTTTTTAACTAGTCTTTCCTGTCCTTTTCCTCTCACATTTACCACATTTTAAATAACTGACGGACAAAGTTAAAAACTGGCTTCTGTATCTTTGTGTGTATAGATGCAGCATCATAGTGCTGTCTGGGGGCTCTGCCAAGGCAGCCACTTCTATCCCATGCTTCCACTTTCCCACTTCAACAGGTGGACCCGAGGCAGACACAGGTGAACCACAGGCAGACGCACACAGCACTGCAAGGCAGCCAGAGCCAGGCTTCGTCCCTCTGTGGGGACAGGCTGTCAGGGCTTCCCTGCCCATAAAATTCACAGGACACTGGGAAGATCAAACTGATGTATGGAGACTGGGGGAGATGGGACTGAACATCTTCCCAACTCCAGGAACTGCTGACAGGCAGGCAGGAGGCCTAGGCAGGAGGCACAGGCAAGGGCCACGGTCAGGCAGTCTCGCTTCTCAGCTTCTCCTGCAGATGAACAGTCCACTACACAATGTGTCACTGCCCCATCTATAACAGGGTGACACAGGGGACAGCCCATCTGCCAGCAATACAGGTAGCAGCACCCCAGCACACGCGAGTGCCAGCGACACCTGCAAGCTGCCTCCTCTGCCAGCAGCAGCCAGCAGCAGACTGCTTCTGCCACAGGCAGAAGAATGGCCATCACCAGAGGCAGCAACACCCACCCCATTGCTCAGGGCACCCACAGCGAGCAGGGCACAGTGGCAAGTGTCCAGAGCTTGAGGGATGCACCACACCATCCTCAAGCCTATGTTGCAGATGCAAAGGACAAGAGACAGATCCCTGTGCATGACATCTCCCACAAGAACTACATGGGGAACCAAAGACACAGCCAGCACAACAGTGAGACTGGGCACACAGCATGGCTACAGCAGGTTCCCTGGGCAGAGATGCAGGGACACGGAGCTGGACAGAGTAGCACTGGTAAGTGTAACATCACTGGCATGTTTCCACCAGGGCACCACAAGACTGCAAAGGATCTGAGTGTTGTGCCTAAGACAGAGCCTTCACAGGAACTATGAGAAGCTGGGCCTGTGCAGAGTACCGACTGTACCCACTCAGGAAAGCCAGACAAATTTTCCAGGATTCTCTGATAACCCTGTGCTGGGGTTTAAGTTTGATTTTCCYGGCCAATGCACCAAAAATGTTGTGGTTTGAACTTGGCTGGAAACCAAAGCACCCACGACGCAATCCCCCACCCCCCCACACCGGAGAGGCAGAGGGGACAGCAGAAGCCCAATTAACACTAAAATTTATGGCTTTTAGATAAGATAACATAATTGAAAGATATACATGTGCCCCAGAAAAAGCCAGACAGGCTGAATAACTTAAGTTGCAAAATAGAATTATTACTAAAAACTACAAAAAATACAATCACACCGGGGAGGGGAACAAAAGACAGGGAAAAATTACAAGGAGAAGAAAAAAACCGAACACTTTAAGACATCTGTTTTCTCTCTGCAAACTGTCTCTCCCAGGTCATCCCTCCCCACCCCTCCATGCCTTCCCACACACAATGGGGACAGGGATGTAAGTTCTCTCCTCACATTTGCCACAATGTCACTGCTCACATTTCATGCACTTTCCCCATACTGCTTCCCTGCCCCTTTTTCTCCTCAGTCCTTTTCCCCCTCCCATTTCCTGCATTTCCCCCTCGTTTCCCCTCAAATTTCTCACTTTCCCCCTCCCATTTCCTGCCCTTTCTCCTATTTTCCTCCTTTTTCAGTCGTATGTCCTGCCCTGTCGCACTCACATTTTCTGCCTTTTAAAATAACTGACAAATGAGGATACTTTTTTAACAACTGACAAAATTCTTCGTTTTTACTGAGAAAGCTGCAATACTGCAGCTTATTAATTAACCCCTTGTATATTAATGGTGGTCTAAACATACGCCTAGCAATGAGGACTCCGCCTGCCCGGTGCCGCTCCGGGCCGGAGAGACGAGGCGCCTCGGGCGGCAGGAACCGAGGCAGCCCGGGAGCGGTGAGGCAAACGGCAAGCACAGGAGGCCAGGGCTCCGGCGGGGACTCCAGCGGGAACTCCAGCGGGGAGCACTGGCAGACACCGCCTCCTGAGGGGGACATCAGCCCGGGCCGCCATGTTGTGCGTGGCGCCAGCCCCTGAGGGGTGGGTTTCCCTGCGATCCCGAAGGCTGCGCTTGGGTAAGCGTTTCCCGGGAGAGGCAGGCGCTGTTTTATGTCTCCGTAGTCACTGGCCTCTTGAGGCCACCCCCGTTAGAAGCCAGCCGGCAGCGTCCTTCCCCCGCGGCTCTTCTTCCCTGTGTGCCTTCTTCCCAGCATGCCAGTGCCCTCCCCACCCGTTCCGGTTCGGGGACGCGTGGAGATTGGCTTCTCGATCCCGGCGGCCGGAAGGAGGACATTTGAACGGTAACGGACTCTCCAGGCTTCTGCGCTGTGGGGTCATTGCCCCGGGACCGGGTGGAATTTGAGTGGCTTCTGGTGGCAGTGCCTCAAGGAACGGGGTGAGACTCGGGGGTCACCCGGCGGTGKCACCGCAGGRGATGGGGTGGGATTCGAGGGTCTTCTGGCCACTGCGACTCGGGATCGCGGCTTTGCCGCTCCTGTCCGCCGGGCAGCCGTGACGGGCCGGTGAGAACAGCAGACCCTCCTCCATCCCCGGGGGCTGCAGCCGGGTCTCTTCTTGTGCCCGAAAGCATGAGTGCGACCTGCGCTCTCCCCTTGCAGGTGCTGAGAAGAGCTGCCCGCGTCCGGCGGGTCACAGAATGGCCGGAGGTGACTATGAGGAAATTCTCAAGTACTATGAAATACACGGAACAGTAGGCACAGGTGGGCTCAGTCTGTGGATGCTGACGAGTGTATGTGATTTTCCGCTCGCCTCGGAGTTTATCTGTTACTTCAGAGTCTGTGTGTCCTGTGTCTATGGTGTATTTTGTGGGGCGAAACTGTGGAAATGTAGAAGGTTGTGGCAGCAATTGCTTCTTCCTTTAGCCAAGATGCTACATGCTGTGAATATGGTATTTGCTTCAAGGTGACTGAGATTACGGGTGAGAAAGCTTGTCACTGTGCAGAGCTTTACATGTCTGTTTCAAATTCTAGGTGGATTTGCAAAGGTAAAACTTGCACGGCATCGTCTCACTGGTGAAAAAGTTGCAATAAAAATCATGGACAAACTTGCTTTACAGGTAATCCAAAAGATACTTCACAGCTGGGAACTTGCTGTTCCCATGAAGTTTTTAGGAACACAGGTGTGACCTGTCACTGTGGACTAGTAGTAGATGCTGCAGGCTTGAAAGAATTTTAACAGCACCACAAATCCCATGCCCTCATGTGAAGAGGGCAACGTTCTCTGGCTGTAAAACTGAGGGGGTTACAGCTTCCAATATTAAACTAAATTCCTGTAAGTCAAATGGAGTGTTGGTGAGAATAATAACTATTATACATCTGCTCTTTTGGGTTTTACTAAAGTGTGTGAGGAGGGCAGGTGAGCAGTGACAGAACTGGTGCTGCTTTGAGTTTGTTCACTTGTGTTGTACAGGCTTACTCTGATGTACAGGCTTACTGTGATGTGCAGGCTGTCAAAATAATTGTCAGTTATTTGTCAACCTTGCCGTTGTGATCTCTTAGGATGACTTGCCTCGTGTTAAATTAGAAATTGATGCCATGAAGGACTTGAGTCACCAGCACATTTGCCAATTGTATCATGTGATTGAGACACCCAGGAAGATATTCATGGTTTTAGAGGTAAGGAACGGTGTTTCTGCTGTGGCAAAGATTCCTGGGTTTAGCCATAGAAGTAGATGCTAGCAGAATCCAAGTGAAATGATTCTTAGGATATCACAGTGTGTCCAAGGTGTCATGGTTTAAAAATGAATCTGAAAATGTCTTCTATCTTATTGTAAAAGCCAATTCTCGCTGCAATAAGCAAACTGACTTCAATTCACACCTCATGCTCCAAAAAATAGCACCGGCAGGATATGCGGGACTTGAGAAGTGCCACCGAGTTGTCACCTCTGGGCCAGATTCTGTCGCCTGTGATGGTGATATGGCTGTCGCAAATATCAGGCAAGAGTTAGGTTCTTGGGCTTGTTGGATATGTTGCACAGTGGCCTGGGGCATGCCTGGGGGCTGCTGGGATAAAGCAGATGGAAAGCAGGAGAAAAGTGCCTTTTCCTTGCCATCCAATGCCCTTGTTCATACTTAGATTTCATGACTGTATCCCAAATTGTTTGGTTTTATTTTTCCTACTTTCATGCAGTACTGTCCTGGAGGAGAGCTTTTTGATTACATAATTTCGAAGGACCGCCTTTCTGAGGAAGAAGCTCGTGTATTTTTTCGGCAGATCGTTTCAGCAATTGCTTATGTGCACAGTCAGGGATATGCCCACAGGGACCTCAAACCAGTAAGTCTGAACAGTAGTCAGATTTGAACAAATAATAATGAAGATCCACCTTTATTTCTCCGAATGGAGCTCAATGTGAGTTATGTCTTCTCTGTTCTCCTGTGCCTACAGCTCTTAAGCTAACATTTCCTGAAAGAGCATTATTTCTGCTTACTGCATTGTTCCTCAGCTGAGCCGGATGTAACTCTCTCTGAAGAATTAGCTTCCTCTGGAGGACGTGCAGAATAATGCCCTCCAGCTGAGAGTGGAGCAGACACAGATTTGGCTTTCACTGTTGCTTAGGCATTCTTACCATCCCCTTTATTCCATATTGTGTCCAGGGAGAGTTCTTATGATTCCTCTCTGTTGTGCAAACCGTTCTGTTGTGACAGTCAAAGAAAAATGTGACTCCCACAGTGTAAACATGCAACGACTGGGCAGGGACTGATCCTATGGCTTTGTTGTCACCACAGGAATTCAGCATGGGTTTAGGGAATGAAAGCCTTAAGACCATTTCTCCTTGAAGAGGTTAGAAGTCTTCATATTTAGAGACACTGTTAACTCTGAAAAAAGCAGATTCTTAGGGTACAAGGATTTTACTAGACAGCTCATAAAATCCTTGTCTCCAAAGAACTTCTCCCCAAGCAAAACCTGTGTACCTCTTGGAGAGACTTGGGTTGTAGCTGGAGACCTGATGGATTAATTAGAATTGTGTGATAACTTGTTTGCAAAGTGACTTCTAGTGGCTTCTGTTTTTATCTCCTGTTTAAAATAGTGTCAGACCAAACTGCTTGGGGCTTCATCCAGTCACATCTTGGACCTGTCCCTAGGATGAGGCAGCATAATGTTGCTGGGAAACCTGTTAAGCTCTTCTCCTCCTTATGAGAAAAGCTTTTTCTTAGTAGCAGTCTGAAGGTTTTCTGATGCCTGTTGACTCTCATCATCCCACCATGTGCTTCTGTGGAGGGGCTGGCTCTGTCTCTATGACCCCTTTGTTGGAATTAAAAGACTGCCATGAGGTCTCCACTGAAGCTTTCTCACCCACAGGCTGAACCATCATCTCTCCCTCAGCCTTTCCTCACAAGCCAAGTGTTCCACCTCCCTGGACAGGCTGATGCCCATCCACGGCACATACCTCAGTTAGGTGTTTTTCCTGTGCTAGAGGATGGGCAGAAACTTGCTGTACTGTTCTTGCCATGCTGAACAGAATGCAAGTGGCATCCCTCACTTTTCCAGCTCTGCTTCTTTTCACACTACCTGGGATATCACTAGCTGCCTTTTCAGGAGGCTGCTATGTCACTGTTTTTGTTTTCTGTCTAGCAGCTCTCGAGGCCTTTCTCCTTTCAGGTAGGAGCTTGTATTCCCAGTCTGGAATCTAGGATGTATTCATTAGCAACCACTCAAAATCTCCTGAGGAGAGCTTTAGGTAAATTCTCACTGGTAATGGCAAGAAGAAATAAGGTGAAAGAAAGCATGGCTCCTTGGATACTTGTGTTATAGAAGAATTCATCACCACTTTGTCTTTTACTAGGAAAATTTGCTGATTGACGAGGAACATAATCTGAAGCTGATAGGCTTTGGACTTTGTGCAAAGCCAAAGGTAAGAGTATCAGTTGCTCTCACAGAGCAGAGCTAAATCAGCTGCAGCGCACACATAAAAATGGCAGGTGCGACTTCAGGGTGCAGTGCAGAGCCTTGCACTAATTTGAGCTGTTTGTGTTGTTGTCATCCATTTCTAAATGCTTGGTAGGGCCTTAACGGTGTAATCCAGTTTTACCTTTTCTGAGCAGAATATCAGTTTTCTTCTCTTACACTTAACTTTCATTCCAATCTAAGGCAGATACTGCCTTGTGTGTAGAGTATCCTATCCTACAATGGCCTGTGCTGTAAAACTGATGCTGGTGTCCATTTTCCCCCGGGATTTTTCAATGATGTGCCATTTTCATAAGATTTGTCTGTGTGTGGAGATTGTGAATCTAATCAAATAGATTCCTTTTACATTTCCAAAGCCTTTGGATCCATATGGTTGTACTGTGTTGTTTACCTAGTTTAAAATTGGTTTCTAGATTGTTGCTCTGTTTCTTGTCTTCATATATGAGATGGAGAAGAAATTTGTTGGGAAGAAGGTCTTACTGATCCAAAGTCCTCAGATTGTTTTAGCTAAATCAGGTTAAAGAACCTTGCCAGAAATCAGGGGTATTAGACCACAATCTTGCTGTTGCAATGGTACTCTGATCTGCTTAGAAGAAAGCCCAGGGTAAGCGATAACATGTTTTTTATAAGAAAGCATTTTAGTGGTTCTTTATGAAGTTATTTCATTAAATATTGTTATAAATATCCAACCAGCCTCATGCCCAGTAGCTCTTGGGTTACTGATTCCCAAGTTCCATCTCTTTGTGGTCRCAAAGGGAAGTATTCCTATTAGAGGAGMAGCTGCAGAAAAGGCTGCTGGGATAGCACGTGAAGRAACAGCTTGGGATCTGAACCTTTATAGGATTCTACTGGTCTTGGACAGTTTTTGCCTAGTGAAGCCATATATTTTACCAAAGCAAAATATTAGGTGACTKTAKATACACAGCAGTGRAAAATGAAGCCTCTGAGGCCTCTAAAATGCTGTTGCTRGAAGACACCATCTGTGTTAGAGCTAATGCTTCTGTGTCRTCAGTSKTCTGTCTTGTTCTAGGGTGSCCTTGATTASCATSTGAACACATGCTGTGGAAGCCCAGCTTATGCAGCACCAGAGCTGATTCAGGGCAAAGCATACATTGGCTCAGAGGTAGGTGACACAATTTTGGGTTAGGGTGGGATTTTTTTTCCTGCCCAGCATGTATTTAAAGATGAGATTCAAATGTACTCCCTTGGTGTCTCTCTCCAATGCCACTGGATAACATTGCCTCAATGGCTCTCAGAAGCTGTGTGACTAACTGCAGTCACAGCCTGGAATAGCTCTTGATCACAGATTCTGCYGCTGGCTTTTTTATCTCTGACTAATCCTTCACTGTCCCCAGCTGTTACTCTACAAAAAAATAATTTAAACTCCTTCCTTCTACTACATTATTCCAAGCAGCAATTTGTTCTGTTAATCATCCAAGCCTTGTTACAAATTTTTATGCAGTCTCAGTATCCTGTGTTTTTGCCTTTGAACTCTTGTATGAAAATTTGCTCTTTGTTTTGTGCAGTGTAGCAAAATTAGAGAAAAGGAAACGCTGGAATTTATCCACATTTGATTCTGTGCCTAGAACATTAGGACCTGCTAACTGCCCTTGTTAATTCATTCAAAACGCTGCAATTGCAATCCCCTCAAGCTTCCTAACTCTCTGTGCTGTTGGGTGGAGTCAGTCTTTTTTCCTTCACCTCCTTAGCACCACTGTCCCTGGTCTCTAAGTCTTGCTTTCTTTTTTTTTTTGTTTTGTTTTGTTTTGTTGTCCATGAAGTTAGTGTTTCTCAAACTGCCTTTATCTTTATGATTGAAGTGGGAGTTACAGTATGAGCCATGTGGACCTTTTCATGTCTATACAGAGAGGAAACAATGGGGCTTTAAAGCTGATTGTAACTGTGCTGACAGCTGTCATAATCACTAATACATTTGAGCACAAAATCCCTTCTGATGACTTTGATTTCCTTTTTGTCAGTGAATCCTTGTAGGTCGAAGGTAATGCAGCAATCTGGTGACCTAAGGAGAGTGTAATGGTTTTACTAGTGTTCTAGTTTGAGTGAATTGAAAACAGTGTACTTTCACTTGGAATATAACAGTTCTGTCTAGAGTTAAGGACCCTACTTTCCATGAATTGCATGTGGGTTTTGCCAAAAGGAGAAAATGTTATCTGTCTCTAAGCCATTTTAGACAGATGAGGTTTGTGAACTCTCACTTTTATTTTTCAGGCAGATATTTGGAGTATGGGAGTACTGCTGTATGCTCTGCTGTGTGGCTTTCTCCCATTCGATGATGATAATGTCATGGCTGTCTACAGGAAGATCGTGGTAGGTATTGATGAGAGTAGAATGCATGAGGAACAGGAATCGCTAAGCATTATGGGATAATTTTGCTTTCTAATGCCAGAACCCATTGAGCTGTACCTTGAGCAAAAAGGGTTATCTGCTGAATTTTGTTATGCTTTGCTACTCTTTCGATCGATACTTTGCAGATTTGTTTCTGTTTTCCCTATGCCTTTGCAGCACTCTACCTTGGTCCTATGATAGACAACCGAGTTTCAGGAAAACTAGTGGGCTGGAATTTATATCTAAGTGTTTATCTGTCTTCTCCCTGTATTGTATGGATTTTCTGAAACTATTGTTCTTAAATGTCAGCCATTCTCATGTCTAGAAGAAGCAGGAATCTGCATCTGCTATCGTGCTTTCCTTCTCCAAAAGGGGTTGAATAAATAGTAGATAATATGAGTAAGTCATTAATTCTGTTTCCCTGTAAACTCCTCTTGATGTGGCTCAACAGCTGCTCTTCCTCAACGCACATGCACCTTTGCCAGCCACTTCTGAGCTGCCATAAAAATCTGTCTTGATAAAGTTTGATCTAAGTGAGTGGGATAACAAACGACAGTGTAGAGTAAGACCTTTAGATTCCTCTACCTCGTTCTCCTCTCACCCAGAGTCTGATGTCTAAAAAACCTCAAAAATAACCCTTTCTTGAGAGTATTCACTTTGGCAGGAGGCAACTGACACTGGTGTGCACAGGGAATGTTTTCCAGGTGCATAACAATCTGAGCTCTATAAAGTACCTGATTATTTCATCAAAGAATGTGGATTTTTCATCTGGAATTGGAGTACACTTGACTACCTTTATAGAAGATCTCTAGGAAACTTAGTTTGAGTTGTTGGAGAGAACTTTAAAAAATAAAAAGGGGGGGAAGGAAAAAAGACGTTAGTTCTAAATCCTTTTCTCATTTTCCCTTCTTTTGCAGAGGGGAAAATACAGTATTCCAAAGTGGCTCTCTGCTAGTAGTATCCTGCTCCTTGATCAAATGCTGCAGGTAAAGGTTTCTATTCAGTAAGTCTATAAAGTACTGTTGCATAGGTTCAAAATATTGCATCAGTGAAATATTTAAAAAAACATTCTCTGTTTAAATAAGAAGTTTAATTCTTAGAGTTTTTTGGAAAAGATTGTAAAAAAGATTATTATTGCCTTCAGCTTAAAAATCTTTGAGAAAAATGCTTGATTAGAAAAGTAATTAAGCAAAGTCTAAATGATTTAACAAAATTATCAAAGAGCATGCGTTTCATCATTCTTACTGTGCTATAAAAATGAGCTATTTTGTAAATGATGCTTAACTTGCTGAATATGCATTTGGGCTACACCTAAGGAATCTAGATAATGCTGCAAATCCCTGGGAGATCTGTTGTAACTGTAGGTTCTATAACTGCCTTTCAGGAGTGTGAGCTTCCTTTTGGTGATACTCTGAAACAGTATTGGTTTCTGGTTTTGTCCCTAACCACCCTAACGTTCTGTGTAGAAGATGAATTGTTTCTTTACTTTTTCCCCACAATTTAAGTATCACTTTGATTTTTGTTGACCACCAGGTTGACCCAAAGAAGCGGATTACAGTAAAACACCTGTTAAGTCACCCTTGGCTCATGCAAGGTTTTTCTGATGCTGTTCAGTGGCAAAGTAAATACCCAGTAAGTACTCTGATCAGATGAATACTAACGCATTTCATGTAATATTTGCTAGATTACTACCATCCCTGTAGTGTATAGTATGAAGGCATTTCTTCAAAGATTAATTTTGAGATGGCTTTGGTTCTTTTCTGATTCTTTTAGCTGTCAAAATATTACTTGCTCTTGATTTCTTTTGAGGAGAATTTTTGGAGCAGAAATGTGTTTTCTTCATATTCTGCAGCTGAATCTGCAAAATAACTGAATTCTCATCATAATATGAAATACTTCTACATATGAATGACCAGCTCCTTCTCTAGGCTGTTTGATCAGTACTTTGCTTAATGTGCAAAACACAAATGATCTGAAGTGCATGTTAGATGTGATTGTGGTTTATATTGTATGTAGTCCTCACTGAAAGTTTGAACCAAAATTTAATTTCATTGAAAGTATATCCGTCCTGTCTCTATCATTTATTTTACTTGTGTGAGAGACGAGGGCAGTATGGAGAGGAAAAAAACAAAATAATCTGTTAGCAGAAAGTGCTGAGAAGTTCCTGCATGTTTACAGCCAATGCTTCCCGTTGCCACCAGATGCCACTGTTTCCCCAGGTAAAGAACAGTTTGTTCTTGCACCGTCGGTGCCGGCTGGCGCTGGTAGAGATGGGGATGGCCTATAGCTTTGGATATTTCTAGACAGATGAAAGTGTAGCTTCCACTCTGTAAAAATCTTACGTGCTTCTGCGTGGCTTATTTGATTTCATAAGATGTCACCTGTGAAAGAGGGGTCAGGCTGTGAAGTTGTTGAAGTTGTATGACTTTTTCAGGCTGCTTCCTGTAATGTTTAGCTGTGATGCTAAGCATTTGGAATACAAGGTCTAAAATCATCATTGACTATTGACTCAGCCCATTGGGTTTCACAACAGTGCAACTGTCAGATTATGAATTATGGGGCAACTTTAAAACCTCACACTTCAATATCCATTGTATTCTTGCAGCTGGGACATCTTGATGAGGACTGTGTAAGAGAGCTTTCTCTGTTTCATGAGCAGAGCAGGGAGACTATATTGCAATTAATAACAGAGGTAAGAAGAAAATGTCAGTAATTTACACTAATTAAATTCAGTAATAGAGTAAATAAGTTTACTTTGTTATCAGACCAACACGTATATTCTCAAGTATGACATCTTACATAAATTTCAGCTTTAAGGAGTTCCTGAGAATCTGACTGTAGCTAGTAAATACAAGCTACTGGTTCAGAAGTTCAGATTTGTTTATTTGTTTTTCTTCTTTGATTGTGCTCTTTGTGTTCCCTAAATCTTACTGTTATTTGCCGCTATGGTAAAATTCTTCCGAATCTCTGAAAGCCAGAGCAGACTTATAGAAATTTGTAATTGAACAATAGATACCATTTGCTGGGTTAACTCTTTGCTCTGAAATGGTTCAATAAATAGGAGGGAAAGCAAATAAGATAAAAATATCAGAGCAACACCCAGACAATCTACAAAATGTAGGATTTCTTTGAGGTACTATTCACAGATTTTTAAAAGTACTGAGTATGTTTAATCATTTTTGACTACAAATGACAAAAGTTGAATGGAATACTTCTAGAAGTACTGTGCAAATGTTAGCAATGACATAGTAGAAGAGATTTAATGCATGATGTGTACTACAGCTTTTACCTGAATCTGAGAATTCTTCCTTGAAATTAATTTTTTTTCCTTTCTACTTGGGGTTTTTTTTTGAAGACTTAGTTTTTCCACATAACTGTAGCAGAAACAGAATTTTAAAATGTGTGTGATACTTATTATAGATTTGTGGAGTTAATTCTCCTTGTTCTTTGGTTATAACAAATAATCAGAATAATTGTCTACAGAGGGAAAAGTCCTACGAAATAGGTTTATGACATTTGCATAGTCCTTTACTGGAAGATTTCAAATCTCTTGTAAATTATTCAAACTGTGCTATGCTGTAAACCTGTCAAGAGCGGTGTCTATGTTCCTCACACACACAGAGTGGCTGAAAATCATGCAAAAAGTTGGTGCTTGGGGAAGAATGAGCAGGAGTTGCTTCCAAAAAAATTGTACTGTGGCTGAAGTATTGGAAAAACCAAATGATTAGGTTTGCATTCACTTCAGTAGATAGATCTGGACTCCCGCATTACTTTCCATGCTACTGCATGAACTACAAACTAATTTCCAAAGAGCAACCAACACAGTGCCTTTTTCTTGATCTCAGACACGTAATGCAAATCACCTAAAGTCTGAAATTACACTTAGGTGTAATTAGGGTTACCTATCAGGTAGAATAGCTTGTAGAGAAAGAAATTTTCTGAAGTCTGAGTTTGACTTGTACTTGCAATGTTTCACATCCTCTCACAAGAGGAGATTAAAATATTCTCTTTCTTTCTTTCTTTCCCTCTCTTGGACCCCACAGTGGAAATATGACCACATGTCAGCAACTTACCTCTTGCTTCAATCCAAGAAGGCTCGTGGCAAGCGTGTTCATTTAAAGTTTCCGTATCTAACAGGGCATGCCAGTACCATGATGTCGGCAGGCCTTCAGGTAAGCTTGAAGTGAGCAGGATAGCATTTGCTTAAAATCCTGCTCTGCATTGACAAAGCTCTGCCTAGAGAAACATTCTGGTAATCTAAACATCAGGAAGCGACCTGAGTTTAACCCAGTTTGTCTAAACATAGTGCTAATAACACCAGGGTGGGTTTGATCCGTGTGGCCCATTGACTTAAGAGTTGGACTTGCTGATCTTTGTGAATCCCTTCCAAATCAGAATATTCTGTGATGTATGCAGTCAGCCACAGTTTGGTCCTTTAACAGTTCCATCTTCTTGTGAACATGATTTAGGAAGTTGGGCTGCCTCTATGGATTGGCTTTACTGGAAGAACATCTGGGAGCATATGATGCATCAAGTGCTGCATGGAATCCCTCCTTGTTAGTGGGCTCAAGTCCCATGTTGTCTGGCTTGGGTGATCACTCAGATCTTGTTTTGTGATGACTAACTGCACTCCATGCTTGTCTGTATGTATTTTTGTACCTTGCAGGTCACATTTAGTAAGGAAAATCTGGGGGTAGATCGTCGCATGTCACTGCTCTGAGACTGCATGAGCACTATGTGAGCTAGTGATCAAATCAGAAAAAGTCATCCCTTTATCATCTTTTTCACTGGAGAGTATAATCCTAGAGAGGATGCTGTTTGTTTTAAGAAAGGAAATACGTTGCTGCTGTTTTTCTGATTATTCAGATTCTGAAGCATTTTGTGTATCTTAGTGGAATTTCTGTTCGTATAGTTTGGTAGTGATAGAGCACTTCAGAATGTGGCTGAAGCTGCTAAACTGCTTGCAATGCCATATATAATGTGCAGCCATGTATGATGTCAATGATAGTAGTCCATTTTACAAGTTCCAAAGCATTGGGTGGATGTGCAGACTTGTGTTAGCTGTTTCCCCTTGAGATAAAACATGTGTAAAATGGTCTGTAGAGGCAAGGACTCAGGATAAATACTTTATGTATCTGAATCAATTGCGTGTAAATTGTTTCAGTTTATCCACACAGCCTTTTTGAGGTGAGAATTCTAGGATTACTAGAGCTTCATAACAGATCGTGAATCATAATATTTTTGATTATGCATCATGTGATATCCATGATCATGGTGGGTTATTCTTCTACACTCCAGTGATTAAGGTGGAGCTTCACTAGGTTCAGTTGTGCTAATACTGTGAAGCTACTTCATTTCTAGTGATGTCCAAGGTAAATTGGCAAATGCTGCTAATTAACATATGCATTATGCCTTCCCAGGTAATGGTGAAATTCTTSTCTACACAATACARCAATCCATTAGTCCTCCTCCAGCACTCAGGACACATTTAATGTGCTTACATGTAACTACTGGGTGAATATCAACTGAATTTGCCAAAATGCCCAGCTAGCAAAGCTCTCTAGCTGGGCCCGGTCTAATGTGATGACAACCAAGCAAATAGAACCTTTAACTTAGCCATTTCTGAATTGGGTGGCACAAGCTTGTACATATTACTGCTTGATTTCAAGCAGTTCAATGTAGAAGCATATTGCAAAAATTTCACCATGACATCTAGAACACAGTAGCCAAGGTATCCTATTCATGCATTCATGTTTAATGGAATGTGATTTTAACTAGAGTATCAGGCTCCTAGCTGCTTGTAATTAGCAACCCTCTGGTAAGGGCGTTTGAATAAGGCATCATAGAAGGTCTGGCAGCTTCAGGGAGCTCTTTATTTCAGTAGTAATGAGAGATCTGTTCATTGTAATATGTTGATCATAGGGCAACAAAAATTTGCCTGCCAGCAGAACATAAGTTACTGAAATGTTATCCAGTCCAACTAAAGGGTACCCATTCCAGCCAAGGACTAACAATTTAAAACAATTGTGTGTGGTTTCACTGAAATGGTATGAAACAAGTCCCTGTGAAGAGTTTCCTGTAAATAATAAAAGGTGTTGGAGGCTAAGGATGCTTTAATATACATTTGATTGTATTGGTGTGAACCATCAAGGTTAGCAATCTTGGCTGAAATTATAGATCTCTTCATTTAATAATCCTGACAGCATCAGGATAGGCGAGAGGGGTGGTGGCAGGGTGCAGAGCTGGCGATCAAATGAAGGGTTCATATGCTAGCTCCAATTGATGTGGTGGATTCAGTAGTCAAATGTTTAGGATACATGTGTTTACATTTATCCAGCCCTTTTTGAAACATTACTCCATTCTTTTCTTGGATTCTTTCCAGATTATTGTTAAGCTTTTAGTAAAAAGAGTTTGTGGTCCAGGTCTTGAATTCAAAAGTGAGTATTTTTGTGAGTTGCTTCTCTTCTTGACAGAGGTCAAGATAGATGATTTGGCAACAGAACTTTGAGAACAGTTTCACATCCACTTTTGATACAAATTACAAATCTACAACAGCAATATTAAAATCATGTTATAAAACTTAGATCACCGTCATGGAAACTTCCATTATGAGGAACTTAGAAAGAAATTAGGTTTAGATTTGATGGCAGTCTTTTCTGATAATATCTTACTTCTAAGTGTACAGTGGAATCTCAACTGAATATTTCTTTGCATTCTGGAAACTGAAAAAAATACACACTGTGATGTGTAAAGATTTGCCAGACTGCAGGGAAGTGCCATGTGTATTTCTATTCATGGAATTTACAGATACAGCTTCCCTGTTTGAAGAAACTCCATTAAAAGAATTTATTTTAAATACTCATAGAACGAGGCAGTTATTTGATATAGTATTCTTAATCCAAAAATATTATTCTAATTGTACATAAAAGTTATTGTATATTTAAATATCTGGTAGACCCTAGCCAAGTGGAGTTACAAACTGAGAAAAGAAACGTTTTAAATATATAGCTTGACGTACATTATGCCATTCTGTAGCTGTAGGTAATTTGATTAAAACTTGAGCTTTAAGCATCTAGAAAATGAGTAAATGAGGGTTTTAAAATGGACAGAAAAAAATAAGGTGCAACAAACTAGGTCTCAGACGTAGGCTAGAGCTGGACAAATCTCTGCATAAGTTCAACCTCTCTGTATTGGACAAGAAAATCAAATGAGGCAATTAAAGTTTTACACTTACATCAAATGAAAATTTCTAGCTGTGGTTAGGTCAGCTGGTAAGTAATAGTCTTAAACATGAAAGCTAAAGARTTTAGAAAAGCAGGTAAAGAAGTGGCAAATTACTTGAAAACTTTATGAGCAAGTTATAGAGGGAATCAGAGGTATTGAAGAGTTAACTATTGCTCTATAGTTAACCTGTATATGGTATTTTTAACCTGCTTCAGATCAGAATATAGCAAGGGATTTCTTAATTTTTTTTACCGTTTTAATTTTCATTGCATGTCTTGTAGTATTCGAGGCCTGATGCCCATCTGGAGGACACAGAATTCACACTGTCAACTCCACTGACAAGAAAAGTAGCATCAAAGAAGCACGAAAACAACGAAAATGTTGAAACAGTATCAGCTTTAAGAAATGAAATGCCCTTTGCACTTCCTGCTCCAAAGACTCCTTTTGCACAGAGTCAGACTGAGACACAGGAACAAGCTGTTCCCCCTAGGACACCTGTTTTCAAAGGTATGTCGAATGTCAATAATGAAAACTGAGAACATATATGTTGCTTGGGAATCATTGAAACTCAAATATGAGTGCAATACTTGTGCATCCAATTTTTTTGATCTATTCACCTATTTTTGGAAGACTTAATTTTTTTTTGCCCTATGCATTATCCTGGTTCTTCTCGTACATGTGGTGAGGTGCTCTAAGAGTCTAAATCATCCATCAAGGCATGTTACTTGTGTGTTGCTTCTAAGAGTCATTGCTGCTCACCGTTCTCATGTGTGAGCCCCTTTTCGCACATGCTAACATGGAGCCAAGTGCTATGTTCTTAAAGCTTGTAGCTGATTCCGTTTTTCCATGAAGATTGACATCACATCATTTCCTCAACACAGTTTTTTCTTTGTGATTACCTTGAAGGAAAAAGAAAATGTATACTTTTAGTTAAATCTGCTTTAATTGCTGCTCCTAAGAGAAATCTAAGTTTTGGATTCCTTATGGTTGGAAATGCATATTAGCATTTTCACAGAACAGTCCAGTGTAGCAGTGAAAAGGCTTCTGTTAACAGCTCCAGAGATGTGGATCTTGCAGCGTGCGGTAGACCACAGAAATCTGTTTAAAATTATATCAGCTTTTCTCAGTTATCAGAAATTTCTGTCTTCAGCCTGTGTAGGCATGTATTCATATATTCATTACCATTTCCTTCAATGATTACCATAAAAGTTTTGGTGTTGATACTGTAAGTGATAAATCTGTCTTTCAAATGCCAAGAACTCGTTGCAATTGGAGACACTTTAGTTCCAGATGCTAAGGAGTATTGTTCAGAAAGRGTAAGTTTTGTAGGCTGATTCAAGAAATAAGGGATTTTGAACATACTTCTGCTTAATGAGATATTTCATCAAGGGTTTAAAGCAATACAAAGACTACTTTATGAGTTTGTCTTAAGATTGTATGTGATAGCTTGTAAGGTGTGACGTCAGGGTATGTTTAAAAATAAAATAGATACTATCTGATATGGGTAATGTAGAAACACTTTTAGCATTTATTTAGTGGGATTTATGAGGATTAAACAAACAGATAATTCTTTCATGTGTTGAAAGATCTTTGATTCAGGAAATAGAAAAGTGGAAGTATCCATTGGAATTTTTGAGATTATTTGTCTGGAATCAGGTGCAATTCTGTAGAGAACTGAAATTTTGAACATCGAAGCTGGTTTTGGTAGTCACGGCTCATTTGCTGACTGTTTCACTTGGTGCTTTCCCCTGCATATTCAAAACCATGCTCTGACTTTTTAGCCTGTTGTGTAGAGTGTACATTGAACATAAAACATAACTATATAAACTTACACCCTTCATATAAGGGAAGTAGATCAGTGAAAAATACAACTACTCAATGCAGTGGATTGCACAGTATTTATTCAGGGACCAGTGACAGGGAAAGAAAGTAATTCTAATCCTCAAATTTCTAATATTGAACTGCATTGGTTACTGTTAAGGTTTGACTTGTAGAGTCATGGGGAAATCTGTCAGAGTTATAATTTAGAAGAGATAGAATTAAAAACATACTTTACAGTGACCAAAATATAGACCTGAGATAGAAAAGGGGTGTGGTGTTAGAAATAAATTATTAATAATGAGAAATTGTCACTGAAGAGAAGGAAATCCTTTATGCAAATATAAACTTAATTTGGCTTGGATGCTTTCAGACAGTCAGTTCACTGCAGTCACCCCAATTAAGAAACCCACAAACCCAACAAATGCAGATGAATTGGCAGCAGTTGAGATTCTTCCTGAAAGAAGGTAAKTGTCCYRTTATTTGCCTACACTCGTGATCTAGAGCAGGACTACCTTAATCCATGTGCTGCCTAGGAAGCCTTGTTACAACAGCAACCTATTGATTCTAGCAAGAGGATAGAAATCTTTCTAAAACCTTTTTCTGCATTCGCTAGAAAACAATGTAGGTAGAGAAAAGTTTTAGAACTATGTAACTCAATTATCATTAGGATATATTCCTATTTTTTATAATGTTAGTACATTCTTATTCCTGTTCCCCACAGGACTGCARTTTCTAGATAAATCTTTGGGTTTAAACTTCAGCAGACTTTCAAACAGAAACTCCTATAATACTTTGCACTTGATTTCATTTTCTTTGTTTTCTCACATCAGGTATTGTTTTAGTGACATGTCTGAAATAATTTGGTTTTTAACACTGAAGGAAAAATAACCAATTAATTTAATCGTGTAACAGATGTCAGTCAGTGGAATTCGATCTCAATCTTGCACATGTGGATAGCAGCCAAAAGAAGAGAAAAGCCAAAATATTTGGAAGTCTTGAAAGAGGCCTAGATAAAGTGATCACAATGCTAACACCAAGCAAGAAGAAACGATGCACTAGAGACTGTCCAAGAAAACTTAAGGTATGTTTGCTGCAAAGGTCTTACATAGGAACAAGTTATTATATTAGTTTATTTAACAACATTATTATATTAGTTTATTATATATTCATTATTGTATTACAATAATTATGATTCARAGCATCCAGTAGCTTCAGAAGTGGTTTTGTGAACCTGTGACCTGTCTTGCCTGCATTCAACAGTAAAGTGCTCTTAGAGCAACTGTACTGTTAACAAGACAGTACCCCAGATATCACATTCAGTTATCTGTTAGTCTGAGTTCAAGCAACAGATCCAGGGAGGAGTTCAGCCATGGCTGCCTGTGGCCCATCTAAACCAAATGTGAAGGAAGCAACATGTTTTTAAAGGAGTCCTACCTGACAGTTTTAAATCATGTTATTCATGTGGGGATACTGCTAGATCTCCCGCTAAAAACCTGACTTATTAGTGCTGGACTACAGAAACCTATGTCCACTCCGGGATAGGCTTTAGGTGGCTAGGAAATCTGAAATTAGACTTAGAACCTAAATAACTACACCTTGTGAAAGACTTTCTGTCAGCATAATTTAGATTGTTAAAGTTCCAATGTCACTGTGTCTGAGCCAGTTAGCTACTTATCCTTCTTTAAGTACCTATTGAAAAAGCAGTTCCTGAAGTATGTTGCACTTTAGTGTTACATTAATAATTTATTCTTACCAAAGTTCACTCATTAGGTTAATTTTAACTTTGTAGAGTAACTTCACATGGCATTGGCATTATACTAGTCAGCAGAATAGTCGGTGAAGTGGCAATAGCAGCAGTGACTAAGCTAARGCCAGGGGTGAGAGTTCTACTGAGCTGCGCAAAGGGGTTATACAAGCTCAGAGGTATCCGGGCAGCAGCCCTTGGCCCTGTCCAGACCTGCAAAGTCTCAGCAGCCAATCAGCTGAGGAGGGAACGGTGCC